GTCTAGAGATGATCAATCTGCAACACTTTAAAGTAGCATCTGTTGGTCTCTATTGGTACACACTGTGCAGAAAAGACAGGAAATTTAGAAACGTTTTAAAAAAGATGCTCTTCTGATGATGCTGCATGTGGACAGAAATTTGCCCTTCATCAAGGATCTGCTCCAAACAGTTTCCTCATTTCTGTACTTGACAGTTTTATGAAGAAACCTGCAGAGCTGGCACTCTGCAAGACAGAACTAGTGTTTTCTTTCAAATAAATTCAAATTCACACCTCCTCCCTATATTGTTTGCAAACATTTGGATGCGTAATTTTGGGGAAGCACATTTGCTGCCTTAGCCCTAGCCCAGATTTGTATCTGTGCTGTCTGAGTAAACCAGAGACAAACTTGGTAGCAGCATGTCAACACGCAGCCTATGCCTGGCTTTCCCTAAACACAACACAAAGCTTCTGTGTCCAACAAATAACCAGAAACCTGGGGGAGATGCCAAGGGAAGCCCCCTCCGGTCTGTCTGACTGGGTGAGCAGTGCTTGGGGCATTCCCCACCCGCCCTGCAGACCTCACTGCAATAGATGTGCAGTGTGACAGACGAAGGGTGTCATTTCTCTCCCACATTCACTTGACAGAAACAGTGAGAAATATACCTAGCACCCTACAGCTTGGGAGACTTGTTTGCTTTCTAAAATAACTCCTGAAACGGAGAGAGAGAGATCAAATCTAGAAGTAAAATGAGATAAAAGCGGATGACAGTTATGTCAGTTTTCAGCAACACTTTTCAACAGGAGGAAGAAGGGAGTTGAGAACTTTACCTTTGTACCTTGAGAAGGAAAGGCTTCCTCGAAGTCAGCCAGGATCTGCTGTCCCAACTCATTCTGCGCTGCCTTCACCCTGAGGAGGACAGAGGACACAAGAGCTTTGTTGGTGGTACAACCACCTCTTTGTTTCATTGCAAACGTTACTACAAAGTAGACTGAAACGCCAACAGCTACGTGAAGGCTTTTAAGGGACAAAAAAGGCAGCTAAAGAGAAAACATCCACACTAAGGCGGCCTGTATGTCAAAACTGGGAGAGCATTTGCTCCCTGACTGACACGGGATGACAACCCCAGCTCTAGAGCATCGATCCCTGAGCTGCAGCACAACACACACTAGATGCTCTTGCCTTGCTGCAATTTAGTATTTCAACAAGGGCCAGTTATTCAGCTGAGAAATCAGCAGGGTTCCTGTAACGCCAACGTGATCAAATTATCTTTACATTCGTGTACGTTGGTCACACTTCAACAAAAGTACGTTTCTAACACAAAAAAACTTCACAATGTCTCAATCTCCATCGTGAACCTTTCACAGATCCAGGTGCACTGACCCACTTTTAAATGAATCCCTGTGAATACTGTTGGCTGCGGTTTTATTCTATAAATCCTCCGTGTCTTAAGAAACATAAAAGAGCAAAGGTACGAAACGGGCAAAAAAAAAGTTCCGAACAAACCACAACCTTGCTCTTTATTTCGCTGAGAGAATAAAGCTTCCAATTTCCAGAAATAAAAGTCAATACAGTTTAATTGATACTTCTAGGGAAATGGAAATGCCTACACATACTAGAAAGAGCCAAAACAAACAGTTAGGCACTTAGATCCCTCTGCAGCCCTTGAATTCTTCCATCACTTTTTATTATACTGGAAATTCTTTAAGGTCTAAAACTGATCATTCAAAGCAGTGGATTTTTCCACTGAGATTGATATGTTAGAAAGAGTGGCTACATTTACTTTTGTGAAAATGTTTGTTCAGACTGTGGGGAGAAGACTTTGGATTTTTATTGTTGTTTAAGACTCCTCAACCTTATCAAGGAATTATCTGCTGCTTTAATCTTCCCATTTGAGGTACATTAGTAGTGAAACACTACAAGATAACCTGACAATGCTGGAGAACAGGCTGGATTCTTTAATGGTGCCAAATGCAGAAAACTCTAATCCTTTCAAAGTGACAGCTGAAATAAAACTTTGTCTCTGTGATTTAACTGTATGTATGACCCGCCTTATGCAGGATTTATTTATGGGGATTTTGTTGGAAAAGCTTCCTGCCTGCAATGTCAAACATAATTCTCACTTAAGCTCTCTGCTTCACAGGAATGTTTAGAAACTCCTCTACTCTTCCAGGTATAGATTCCCCATTAATACCTTCATAACTGTGAAACAAAAGGGATTCACTAATATGTTGAAATAGAAGGAGTGAGAAAATTAAGCAGTAAGGATGAACCCAGCCCTGCAGCCACAACTACAGGTATATCCTGCTTAATTTGTACAAGTAAGCACTAGCAGTTCACGTGAGAAAGCACCACAGAACCAAACCCTTTGATCCTTAAGAAAAAGGAGGGGAAAAAAAAAAAAAGAAGAAAAAAGACACTAAACATGGATTGCAAAATTTTATCTTTTAACTCATCAAGAAACAATAAGTCCTTAGTATTAGGAGTCACAGAAATGAATGAGTTTGTATAAACAGCTGGAAGTTACTAGCTGTGGCACTTCTTTTCTTACGACCAGCTACAGGGACCTTCCTATTTGACAACAGCTGCAGCACAAGCACAGTGGAAGCACTGAAAAGAGCAGCAGCCAGATTCCTAAAGACTCAACAAATTTAAAAGAGGCTCTGTCAAGCAGTTAAAAGCCCTGTCCACAGGCTTTGTTGGTTTAGGCTCGGATTCAGGAAAGTGCTTAAGGATAGTCTTAATGGGGATTCTCATATCCTTAAATTAAGAAACTTGCAGGAATGACTTGCTGAACTGGGATGTTAAAAAATAAGTATTTTTTAAAAATCTGTCCCGCTTAAAAATGTCTCAAATATAAACAGGGAATTTTTTTTTTTTTTTTTTTTTTTTTTTTTTTCAATATTTTGTAAGATAGGGATAGGACAGAGGCATCAAAGTAGCCAAAGGTTTAGGTATGTGTGCACAGTGAGAGGGACCCTCACTGCCCCCCCCAGTAACAATCGTTTACAAAAGCACACACACAAACAAGCACAATTATTTTTTACCACGAGCGTGCGCCCTGAAACACAAAATCTTTTATGTCACCCCTTTACAAAGCGATTGCTTTAGGCAGAGAACACGGGAAAGCACTCGCTGTAGCCTCTAGAGATGACATGGAAAGCTGCGAGCCTTTCAATAATTCAGAATAATCTTTATGCAATGGAAACTGCAGTGGTAAAAGCCTCGACCCCGTGCCTGGCTTCCCTTGCGTTCGCTGCTGAAGGACCATTTCTGCACGTGTGTGTTTAACCTCTTGCAGAAAGAGAATTGCCCACCAAAGCTCAGCAACCCCAGTTCCTCTCAGCTGATAACAGATTTAGGCTCTCTTCTCAGGTCGGATCGATAAGGGTATCTCTCCCCGACTAGCTTCCCCACAGCAGCACGCTGGGGTATCGCAGCAGGCGCCCTGGCTTCCCGCAGCAGGGAACTGCCTTTTCCTGGGGTTGCCAAAGCCTTTGGTTACCCAAGTATTAGTGATTTTTGTTTCTCTGACTTTTCTTGTATTATTAGTGGCTTTTGTTCTCCGTTTCCCCCACCTTTAAAAAAAATAAAACCAAGAAAACCCACTGTTATGTTTCAAATGACATTAAATTACTAAAAACCACAATTCCTTTAGCCAAAGCTACCAGAAATCTTAAACTACGCCTGGCAGCTTACTGAGATAAAAAGAGGCTGAACTAGCCTGTTTTTCTGTGGCAAACTTATAATTATCTTTCTCCTAAATACTTTCCAGGCTTTTTTCCACTATCCGCAAGGCTTTCTCGACCACTTTCATGGGTGGGTTTGTGACCACTAATTGTATGCTCCCTCCACAGACAAAATAAAACAGAAGAGGATTGAGAGATAACAAAATATTGCTATTTACTACAACAAACAACTGTCCAATGCACCATATAAGAAATTGTTTTAGGAACACGATTACAAAAATATTTACATTTGGATGTGAATTGTGACATTTTCACATCAATACTCAACAGGATCAGCACAAGAAGCCAATTAATTGAGAGTTCAGTCAGGTTTCCAAGGAATACTTAGAGTGGGATTTTGTTTAGTTATTTTCAAAAGGACAGAACAGGTGGAAAGCAAGATGAAAACCACATCATTAGTTTTCACAGCATCTAGGAGCTGGAACCTAAACGGAATACCCCACAACAAAGAGCACACCCAACACCACCGAGCAGGCACTTTTCCTTCCCATGGCTTCCCATTCATATTTGGCTTGACTCCATTCATGCCAAGAATGAGAGGCTCTTTATTAAAAGAAAGTAACAGAATCTGCTCGTTTAGCAGTGTATATAATAGACTTACTGTATATAATAGACTTTGGTTACTGTCACCGGCCTGTGCCAACATCTACTAAAGCATTTCTGGCCTTTGCAAACATCCAAGAGGCTTCACTTGTACCATTAAACCAAATCCATGAGATATCAAACCCCAGCAATTTCACAGTCTAAAAATAGCACTGCAAGAAGCCAGGCAAACTTCCTTTGATGTTTCATGAATCACGAAAGTATTTCCAAGCAAAGAGAGATAAAAGTCAACTCCAAATTGGGCACTAATATGTACATGTGTAGTCAAACTCCAAAGCAGATATTCCTGTGCTGTAGACCTCCCTGCAGTAATTTGCTGCCTGGATGTCAAAGCAGTAACGAGATCCCAGCAACACCCTGGGTGCAGCTCTCCTTTCGCCCCACAAGCAGCCACTTCTATCGCTACCAGATGGTGCAGCTCTCCCTGTGTAAACACTGGAAGGAAAACCCTGCCGAGGCAATTCTAAAAATAGGAGGAACAGGCTTTCTTGAGCTTTCCAGATCCTTATCTTGAAGGCAGACTAAAACAAAAGAAGTTTTCCTCCATGTCCTTGCCAGTCTCTCTGGCGTGACTCAAAACCACTGTGCCTTTTAGCAGCAGCATGAAGTGTTTTTGTATAGTTATCAGCAACTACAAAAGTATTAAATCATCATCCATCAGAAGGGAAAAAACAGCCAGAATTCTGGATCAAGGCTTAAATTATATTTGGCCTTACAGTGGCCAGTGACAGCACGTTTCTGCCCAAGGGCATTGCCACTCTGGAAGAAAATGAAGGCAGCTATCTTTCCGAGCATGAGGTTGGAATAGTCGATAGCCTAAATCCAGAAAAGCACTGACATATGTTTTTATTTCCTTGATGTTCATGTTCATTTAAGCAAGTGCTTATGGTCAAATGCTTTGTTAAAACAAGGCCCCATCTCTCTCTCTAGCTTTAGGGTGGATTTTTCTTTTGCTCTGTTTCATGGATTCCATCTGGGTTTTCTGGAAGAGGTTATCTATACCATAAAGTCCGACAGATTTACATGAAAACATTACAAACAAATCATTCAAATGTGATTCCCATTGCTAAACAGCACAGACATCCAGCTGCTGTCTTAGCAAAGGGAGTAACCAAAAAAATTAATTACTGTGTCTGGAAGGTTTCTTCAAGCACCTCTGTAATGAGCAAAGTCATCTCAGGCATCAAGAAGATGGTGGTGATAGAGTTAGCATTTATTTTCTGTTTGAAAATTGCATCAGATATGGTTGTATCATTAAGAAGGTGCATCCCTAACATTAATAGCCTGTTTTCACCTCTGAGCTGTGCTCAGCACTACTGCAGGCTGTTAAGCAAACATCATGTGTGTGATGTGAGAGAAATAAATCCCACTGTAAACAGGAAGAGTAGGTTTTGGGTAGGGACAGGGAGGGCCTTGTTCCCTCAACACCCAGCTGTCACGTCCCAAGTGACACCAAGACCCCAGGAGGGCTGGTGGCTTCGTCACCACCAAGTCACCTGCTGCTGCTGAGAAGAGTTGGCACTTGCTGCTGGAGTTGTACCAAAACTCACCAAATTTAACTGTGGTAACTCCACATTAGAAAATCAAGACTGTACGAGCTCAGCATAAACATTTAGAGCAGTCAGGTGTGCTATATGTGATTTTGGGAAGACAAGTCTCAACTCTCAGCAAAACTGGGCAAAGGGAGCAGGTTTAGGTGAAAGAAACCCAAGGTGCTCAGAATAACTAAGTTTGGCAAATGCACAAAAAGAAATCCCGCCTGCCTAAACCCTTGGGCAGCTAAGCAGTCTGACAGCGATTTGGCAGCAGTAGGGCACATGTCTGGGCAGAAAGGGGCCCCAAGCACCACCACACTGGTGTGTGTATTTCTGCTTCATGCCAGGCTGCTGAACTGTATCACAGAGGTTGAGGAAGCGGGAGGAAGCGTCACCTCAGGGTTCACCACAAACACCTACACATGGAGATCACATAAACCAATTTACACTTCCACAGATTACTCCAGGTAAGTAAATTAAAAGCCAGTCATTGAGAAGCACAGATCATTCGTGAAGTGCATCTGTACTAACCATTGTTAATTAACAGAATAGGCTGCTCAAGACTTGAGCAAACCGTGTCCAGTTTTAACCTGTTCTGACTAGAAAGAAGCTCAAAGGACCATGTCCAGCCTTCCCATCCTTGAGAAACTGATTCTGCCTAATGCATTTTCTAACCTTCTTTCCCAGCAGGCATGCAAGTGCTCAGGGTTTGATCCTTATACCTTTCAGAAAGCTGTCGAATCTGAGGAATGCCCATGTATTTGTTGAAGTGCTCCAACACATTCACGACACCTTGGAGAAGGTTGGCAACTTCCCCATATTGTCTCCTCCTGGTCATAGCCCTGTAGAAGAAATTAAAGATTTACAAAAGCAGGTTCAACGAAAATCCTGAGTGGTAATTTCACAGGTTACCTCATCCCCACTGGGTCATGCTGGTCCCTTTTGACATTTATTTTTCTAAAATACACAACTCTTCATTAACATTCCACTGTAGCATTAAAATTTCACTTAACTGATGCTAAAATAAACCAATCCAGCACACACCTAACAATGCCTCAAAAACCCCTAAATGTCAAAAGCAACACTTGGCAAAGAACATGTAAACTACTGAATGCATCCGCTTCACAGTATGGGTCCGGAGGCAGTAAATGTTATTTCACTGTAATGACCTGAGTCAAGCCATTCATCATCACACACAAAGTGTGAGTTAAAGCTTCACAGGGAGGAGAATCATTATGTTGAAAAGCTATTAGCCTTGACTTTTCTGTTAATAACTTTCACAGGGAACTGACAGAAAAAAAATCAAGTTTATTTATTTTTATTTCATCCTTCAGGATCATTCTAATGGATACAGCAGCTTAAGTAAAATTTTATTCTGAACACTTAACAGCCCAGTGTTCATGCAGAATTTGCTACAAGGCAAGAACAGGCTGTGCCTGGGTCTTGCAACTTCACAGATGCAACATGTAAAAAACTGAATTGTCCTAGCCTGTGTGTTCCCCAAGCACATTAAAAAAATCCACAAAGTATTATTAGAAACACCTAACCCCCCTTCATACATAGTACAAGCTCTAAGGCTTCTTTAAATTTATTCTCAGAACTAGAGTAGATCTTTCCAAAAGAGAACTCATTCCAGTTTAAGACTTGAGACTGATAAAAATCCCCCCAAATCCCTGAAGAGCACATCGCTAATGAGGATAGCTAACTGCATAGACTGACTTACTCTTTAATGGAGCCAGACTCACTCCTTACCACCAAGAATCAACACAGCAATTCAAGCAATCGATGCTGCAAACCCTTAAATACAGCAACAGAACTTGCGGGTCACTCAGAACAACACAGAAAGGATCTGCCAGCAAAAATCAAGGCTGTAACCTATTAAGAAAACTTCCTTCCAGAAGAACAAGCAGCTGCTGTCACGGCCCTATTCATAACGATGAACCAAACTTAAGAGCTCAGCAGTGGCATCAAAGTACCACTAAAAATTCACACACTTACTCCAGGGAATCCACACCCCCCGCCAGCATGTGCAGGTGATTGAGGGTGGTGATGGAGGTGGTCAGATGGCGCTTGGCATGATCTAGCTGCTTGATGTCCCGTGTGATTTCTTTAACCTAGTGAATGAAAAAAACAAAGAGTCTGGTTAAATATCAAGCCACAGCAACAAAATTTTAAGGAGATAAAAAGGGTGCTCTCCCCCCTTTGGAACTACAAGCATGTTAGCTCTACCGGCATGTTAACACAAGGACAAGGGTACAGATTCAACACATGGTTGGCAGAAAATTACCAGGTCAGCAGGACCAAAGACAAAAATGTTCCCTTTTTAGCAAGAACTGGAAGCAAAAGTTAGTCTCCTCCACCCTTTCAAAGGCCAGAATGAAACTGCTGCTCACCATTTGTTCTGATTTTTCAGCCTTGTCTTTAATATCCTTGATTTTACCAAAGAGCTGTTGAATGGCTTTCTGGGCTTCCTCCAGGGCCTGGAAAAGAAACAAAGTCAGACTGGAAAGAAAACCTGCATCCAGTTTTCACCTTCTAAGAAATACATAGTTGCTCCCTACAGCCCCTGGGCTGGGGCAGTGGAGGGGAGCAATTTTCTTACAAAGAAAATATCATCAACACATCAAAAGTCAATGTACCATGCTGGGATTTTTAACGTGAGTTGACCAGGGTTTCAGTATCCATTTTACAATAATGCTCTGGCAAAATCTGATCGAGATATTCTATGAAAGCACCTCCACATTATGAACTATGAATAGGTTTAAGGTTACTGCAATAAATTTTGATGCACTAAGTGTGGAAAAAAATACATAGAACTTACTCCTGATCAATACGTATTTAGAGCAGGAAAATGAAACCTCCAGAAAACCTCTATGTTCATCATTAATTATAAATAAAAACCCCACAATGTTACATATAGAACACTGAGTGCTTGCCTAAACCCCTCATTGAATTAGCAGGATATCATCCTGTTGGAAAACATGATGCATATTTTGCTGATTCCTTGGGGCGAGCAGCTCAGCCTCCCACCCACCCGTAGGAGAGGTTCCTTCTAGGCACAGAAGAGAGGGCACAGGTTTAGCAGGTAAAGAGGGTCGAGCCTGGGAAAGAGACATCACCTGGATTTTTCTGCTATTTTCCTTCAAGCTTCTTGGGGCATCTGGTCCCCTTCATACGCCACGGTGCATCCTGACCTCACACAACCAGTGTGAACTTCACGTGGATTCAATGAGTGAAGCCACATGTCCAAAATCACATGTCCAAAATCTGACTTCTGAAGTAATTCAACACATTTTGCCTTCCCAGTCTGATAACATTTCCAGCTCCAGCTCCACTTTGCTTCCCGCTGTTAAGTGGGCTTCTATCCCTCTGGTTTTATATCCAGTCCCATGACCAAGGTTACGGCGCAAGCTACAAGCTCCTTCAGCAAATAAATTTAACACATCTTCATTTGGAAATGTATGAGCAGACTATCTGCCAGGAGCTTTTGCTGGAACATAGCTGCATTATAATAGAAGTATAAAAGTTGGAAATGTTTTATAATTCATTTTCCAGAGGGGGAAAAAAAGTCTCCTCTGAAATATCTTCTGAATCATGCGAAAGTTAACACTTTATCTATTAGTGTCACAGAGCTATCACATCGCATGTTCACTGAGGGAAATGAACACACCAGAGTGCTGTAGGAACACCCGTATCAGAAATGAACACCATCACCTACCTCCTCTTTTGGCTCCAGCCTAGCCACCCTTTAGAATACGGTTTTCTCTTCCATTTAAAGATATGTGGATTAAGTGCAAACCAAAGAACTAAAAAATGCTCCTTTCAACATATTCAATGATAGTCTCTGTACTCAGTCCCAGACCATGGCTGCAGCACATTACTCAAGTGGGCTATTAAGCAAGCAGCAGCTGTCCTGCCTAGTCTGAGATTTGGATAGGTCTGTATTAAAAAAAAAAAAAAAGTCAACCTGAAATTCCTCACAGTTGCCAAATGCTATGTTTCCCTTTGCTTCAGCACTAATGCTAAATGCTAATTTCTCTGCATGACCCCAGAGAAGTGAGAGCTGCTGATCTCTCCAAAAGAAAGATGATTTATCCTGCCAATTAAAAAGATTCTCCAAAAAGAGACATTGTCCTCTTTCATATCCAAGGCAATCTCAAAACCTACTCAAGGTTTGAATAATCTTGAACCAACCTGCAGGGACAGGTATTTGTTGGGGTCTCAGGCACACAGAACCACCCAGAGGCAAGGTAGGGAAGATCAGCATGAGGAGCCTGGGGAGGCCCGGCACACCATGCAGCCCCATCGAGCAATGCAGACACACAACAGGGCCACCCCCAATTCCCAGCCAGTCGTAGGCTTCTTAGATGCATCTCTGATCCCACTCCCTTCTCCTAGGGCTAATTTCTCAGAGGTAGGCTTGGACAACAGCCACGGCAGCTCAAGAACTCCAGCCATCCACTGTAATCCTTTCACTTGGGGGTGGCATCTCCAATCCTCTCCAAGGAAGAGCGTGTGAGTTGCTACTTCAAGCATCAATACGTAGCTCAAAGCCATTTGTTCTCAACAGCCTTCAGCAACCAAGTTCAGAGTAAACAATATGGGGAGTGAGGATTTCCATCTCAGGTCTTACAGGTTTTACATTAAAATCCCTGTCCACAAAGGGAAAACTGTCTTACCTGTTTTCCTCCTGAGTCAGAATATCATCTGCTTGAGTACAGGGACCTTTTCCAAAGTTACTGCCCATAATTCACCCTCAGATAATGGCCCAGACAAGGATTCCTAGCTGCCCACATATCAGCAGTTTCTCTTTTGCTCACTGTTAAGAAACCACACTCCATCTGTTTCTCTAACAGGTCACAGTGCTATTTAATAATACTGCAACAAAAACCAGCAGAGATAATTTACAGGAACCCGGTTTACACCTGAAGAACATGTTCCTGCTGCTCACTGCTCTGTGCCCAGTGGAAACCAGCACACATAGCAGTGGAACTCTGACCAAAGTAAAGTGCGATTCTGTTCTGTACATTTAAAACTGCCAAAAATGAGGTGAACTGGTGTCATCACCTGGTCCTGACACTTGTAGCTTTTACCTCCTTACAGACTCTGGAAAAACACAAGGCAATGTGTGCTTTGCCCCCATCCAATGAGTTAAAGAACTGTGGTCTCCTGCTGCTGTGAAAAATAACATGGCTGGGATGTGGAGAGAGACCCAACAGCAGTTGCTATTCTCCTCAAGCTCTGTATTGCATCTCTGAGAGAAGGGCTGTGTTTCCATAACTGGTAAAAATAACCAGAGAACTCAACAGCAAACTTAACAGACTTGAGTAAATCAGAATTGCTCATAAACACTCGTTTCATTTCTTTAAACTTGCTTCCAAATATTTGCTTAGCCATTAAGACATAAATCTTTAGCTACTCTCCTAAAAAAAGAGCTGCATATTCCTTATTTGAGTCAGAACACACTAACTCATCAACATGCTTCGTTTTTATAGAATTTGCATTTAGAGATTAAAACATTTCTTCAAACAAATTGCTGAAAGTAACACTGTGTGAATTTATTATTTTTTTTTAAAAAGACGGGAGGGCACCGTCAGACAGATCTGATGGGAAATTTGGAACAAAATTAAGTGTTACTTCTTGCACAAAGCCTACAATTAAACTTTCTTATCGTTCTTTTTAAAGAAACCAATAAAACGGTTTTGGCTGTAACATTCTAACTACAGCATGTGAAAGTAAAATACTGCATGTAGACAAAGGAAATAAAGAAAACTAACCAATAATGGAGAAAAACCTTCACTTTGCTGGTCACCATAAAGATAAAAAGCCTAAACACTAAAGCAAAGAGCAAAACCAAGGAAAAACAAACTTCGATTATAAGAAAACACCTCGTATTTCATAAATGGTGTTCATTATTAAGAGATAAGAAACCGACATCTAGGGCATGAAAGTAAGTCTAGTTGCTCAAGGTGTAATACAGAAATTTATTAACGTATCTGATGGTTATTCTTTCACCTGTAAAAGAAGAGAGGAGAAGCTGCAGCCGCATTGAAGGCTACACTGCGTATCGGAGAGAATGCATTTCCCTTCACACTTTGCTCCTGTTAAGACACTGAATCCTGACTTTTAAAAGCATTTTCTTACTGCTTTTGTTATTATTTCATAAATAGCAGGTTTATTTTGGATAGAAATTCTAAAACCAAAACAGTATCAAGAGAATAGGAATTGCTCTTATTTCAGCATAACTGGTTTACACGATGACCAACATCCAGTAATCTTCCATCTGCGGCTTGACGCAGGGTTCACCTTGCATTACTAATTTATTGGTTTCCTTGCCAGTGCAACTGGGAAACATGTAAACGTACGCACCCCCAGACAGCATACAGAAGTTAAGTTATTGTGTTTCCTTCCCTACAACAGCAGTTCATTTCAGGGGCAGAGGACCACGAATAAATAAAGAGACTGGATACATAATCTGTTGTGGTTATATGAAACAAGGATGTTGAAATTAAGGTTGCGATGTACTGGAAAAACACCATATGACTCTAATCAACAACTGAGCCTGCAAGCTACAATTAACCCATCAGAATTATTTATTAAACTTTATGCAACCTCTGAGGTTGCAATGCCAGGCACCAGCTGAGAAATACGGCCCGGACAGGGCTCGACTGCCTGAGAGAGGCAGAGCCATCGCTCAGCAGCGTCTGAAGCTTTTTCTGTAATGTTTGTCCCCGGGGTACCCCGGCTGCTCTGACAACAGTAAATTTAGCAAAGAGGGCAGGACCAGCAACGGAGCCAGAGACTCTAGACAGAGCACTCGATGCAAGACAGGCCTGGGCTCCGTATCGCTTTCCTCCTTCTCCGACGCAGCGTGTCTGATCTCCTGCCCTGACACGGGTTCAGCAGCACGTCCTGGCTGCAGGGGGAAGCAGGTGACGGCAGGGCACGGTGGCAGGGCACAACGGTGTGATGGTTGGCAGGGTGCCTCTGCAGGGCAGCGCCCAGCTCCACGTGTAGCACCTGGGGAGGTACAGCCCCAGCACCCGCAGAAGCAGGGACGCAAAACACGGGGTTTTTTTGGGGGGAAACACCCAGGGGGAACTTCCAGCCCAAGATCACAATGTCTTTTTAGCCATCCCCATTTCTCAGCCAGCCTGTATTTATGCAGTGGAAGCTCCCCTGCTCTTGTGTTACTAGCAGAGATGAAATGCAGACAACTGAGAAACCACACATGGGAGTTGCAAGACTCAACTCTGCAGCACACAGCCAGACCCCAGGTAAGCAGGGCAGGCAGCGAGCTACACGGGTTTTCATCAAATTCTCCAAAGCTGGAGAGAAAAATGTAGCACATGAATCAGCTAAAGCTCTCCAACCTTCACCTTGAGATGCAACAGGAAAAGAATCCAAACACACCAGTACAAAACAATAGGGAACCGAGTTAAACCATGAATCACTAAGAAAAAGACTGCCTAAAATATAG